ATATTATATATCTATTTTTCTCTTTATACATTTTATGCATTATATATATTTTTTATTTATATGTTATATATAATATTTTTATGCAATTTTGTACGATTATCTCTGTTACCATCTTCTGCTCAGCTTTTAGTGCGTTCAACGTACTTGCGACGCGGACATAAAAGCATTCATTTGAATTTTAATTATGTAATGGCAACCATAATTGTAAAATTTAAAAAATTTAAATTTGTAACATTTACTATATTTTACTAATTTGTGACGAATGATTGAAACAATAATGACAAGCTAATATTGTGAGCATTTTGTTAATATACAAAAAAAAGTACAAAAAAAATAAAGCATTTTAAAAAAACAATTATGCGAATGTTGGATTTAATATGTGCCTTTCGCAGAAAGCAATTTACTTTGCAAAAATAAATATGCAGATATACAAACACATACACACACGTTCAGCTTTTTTATTAAAATTTTCTCTCACGGAATGGGCACGTTTCGGACTATATTGTTCCAGCAATACTTCCGTCAAATGATGTGCTTCATTCAATGATTTGTTTTAACAATTTCCTTTATCATGACATGTAAGCTATATTTAAATTGTTGAGCAGAATAATGATATAACTCAGCATCATCAAGTCATACATTTTAGGATAAGATACATGTTATATTTTATTATATGTTCTTCTTTAACGTAAAATCTCAAAAAAGATATTTTTTTCCATTTCTTTTCTTATCATGAGAAATAGAAAAAATTAATAAAATAACAACATTATGTTTTATACATATGAAAGAGAGAGAAAGAGAGAGCATTCTTTCACAATTCTTCTAATTTTTTAAATAAGGAGAAATATATCGGGAGGGAATATTATATACTGCCATGTTAAAACCGCGACAAGACGAATTTCACTCATGATTGTAAAGTTCTATCTTCTTATTTTCTTTTCGCTCCTATGTACTCTATGTAACAGGCCTTAATGACGAATATTAACCCACTTTTAAAGCTATTTTTTTCTTCGTTAGGTAATTCGAGCTCGTGAAAACTTTAAATCGCTGACGGTCGACTCGCTGACGGATCTAATCGTGAATGGTGCGAGATTTCATTTGACTCTTTAACGATCAGGGTCAGCTAATTACTTACCCGACGCTATTTGTCATTGGTCGAGACGTTATTAGAGTTTGTTGAAAATGCCCTCGCTATCTGTAAGTTTTCGCGCATCCGAAATTAGTAAATTTATAATTTAGCCGGGGCAAGTTAGATCGAAAAGTTTCTCGCTTATGTCAAACACCCAAGACCGAAATTAACAGAACTTTTGATAATATCAGTTTGGCATAACTGTCGTTTGAAAGAATTGAAAAAAAAAAACTAAATAAAGACGAAGATCGGAGTGGGAAATAAATATATTGAATATATCGAAATTGATTATTACAATTTTTCTCATGAATTTTTCGTAATCAATTTGTTAATCAAATAGTGATATATATGAATATACTACAAAACATTTATGTAATTGTTATAAATTCTGAAAAATATCAACACATCAAGTTACTAGAATCTTACGTACGATTTAAAGTTTTGTATAACTTTGGTCTTCGATGAATTAAAAAAGCTGGGAAGTGTACTAGATCTTTTCTTGTCTCAAATTCGCAGACGCTTTATTCCCGAGGGTATGTACGTGCCTACACGATTTCTCAATGAGTTACCAAAGCTCAATCTGCACAAGTTTTTCAACTTTGTGCTCGTAAACTGCGATTCCAACAGCTTCTGCAGATCAATATATGTAGTACATTTATCAGTAGTAAATAATATGCAACTGTCAGTAGTAAATAATATGCAACTGTCAGTAATAAATAATATATCTATAATATTTGCAAAATATAAACCGTTTTTCCCTTGTTAAATAATGAGAATTTGTAAGCAGGAACTGTCAGTAGTAAATAATATGCAACTGTCAGTAATAAATAATATATCTATAATATTTGCAAAATATTTATAAACCGTTTTTCCCTTGTTAAATAATGAGAATTTGTAAGCAGATTATAACTTATTTCTTTTACATCTTCGCAAATAGTATCAAGAAAAGCACACTCGAAATGCGACCGGATATTTATGTCATGCGCGAAAAAATATGCTGCCATCTCTTCTGATAGAGGATGTGCTTGTCTGACGCGGAAGCGATGGGATGATGGAAAGTTTGGCGAAACTGAAAGGGTCTTACTGCGTTTCATTCAACGAGCATCGCTAGCAATATCCTGCGTATCATCGCCGACGAGCGCAAAACTCGTTTCTCTCGCGCGACTCCCTCTTTCCTGTCGCGTTGCACCGAGACGGACTGTCAAAACTCGATCCCTGCGAACTTCCCAAGTCATACCCATAAACATGTTTCTTCACGCGGACGAAAATAGAAGCGAATGAAGTTTTTGGCTTGGCAAGAATGCGCCGCGATTCGCACATACTTCGTTTTTTCGTCTAAAAATTGAAACCGATATAATTTCGTTGAATTCAGTGATGCTGCAAAAAAAAAAGATGTTTTTCACGAAAACACGAGGATGTTTAACGATACTTGACACGCGCCGTTCACAGCATCAAAGATTAAAGTTGGCGAGATCAACGAGATCGCAGTTCTAATCCTTGTTTTCTTGCTATCTTTGAATTTTGATGATAAATATGCGTCCCGATCGAGAGAAATCGTAGATCTCTCGCGATTTAATTAGCATTTTTATGAGGCATGCATGTCAAGATATTTGTCGCCTTATCTCGCGGATGGACAGCTTCATCCTCTTGGGCATGACTCGGCTTCCACTTAAGGAAGTAGTTTTAAATTGCTTTGCCGCGACGTGAAAGTTTGCGTTAATTCTGCGGATCTACGAAACTTCTGGCACGGCTATTATTTCGGCTATTTCGTGAAAATTCATGCTTGTTCACAATACAATATTCTCGTACGACAAACTATCGCACGAATAATATTATTGCCATTCAAATAAAATATATTATTTATAATTATTTCATTTATTCATAATTTATTACATTCTCTTACTTTTTTCGATAGCCAAGACAAAAGAGAAATTCTGAATAAAACGAGCAATTTTTTTCATTTTATACATATTAAAATTTTATTAAAATAAAATTATTTCTCGCGTTTGTAATAAATAATGTAGGTCAATAAGCTTGTACAGTTTTAAAAACTAAATTCCCCGAAATTTTTATTTCCGTAATAAATTTAAAACTAAAATCGTAAAAGTTCTTAATGCAAAAATTTCCAGCGCAATGTAGTGATATTTCTGTCCAACAAGTGGTCGGATTGAAAAATACGGATATTCCAAGCATGGATTTAATGTGACCATAAGATGCGATAGACGCGTACGGAAAAAGTCGATCGAGCAAATGTTGAAACGAAACTAATCCTACACGCGCATTTCGATAAAATGTTTGCCGAGAGTTAAGAGCATTAAAGCGAATACTTCATCGATCGTTATACATACCATAAAGCGGAAGCTCCGAAGAATTCCATTGCACTTGATACGCGTAAAATGCATATAATTGCAATATATTGAACAACCATTAATGACTGTGATAAAATATCTCTTGCACAAAATAAATAATAAACATACGCAAACGTTTTATATATAACGTGTTGTACTGCGAATACTTGTATTTATCCAATTCAAATAATTATTATTTCACACTTAATAATTGGATGTGCTTGAAATAATAACATTATAATTTATAATATAATAGTAATATTGAAATTATCCGAATGATTTAATTGCGTGATTTCTTTTGTATCCAAATGCGTTTTTTCATTACAGATATTTCTTTAATATGATTGAACTAATAACTAACTAACGCTGTGCTGGTAATTTTTTAATCCTAAATAACATTTTAAATAACGTAACAAGATATAGGTGCACATTTTGCGTAAATGCAGTGTCGCCTTGGACAAACGTGGAAGCGTTTAAACTTATTTCCTGCTGGTAAAGGCGCATAAGCGGCCGTAATAGATGGAAATTAATGCGACGAATTAGCATTTTAATTCGCTATCGCCGGTGCAGCGAAGGGCGCCGCTTTTTTTTTCCCCCTCTTCAACGCGAACGACCCGACGTGAAGAGAATCACTGCGAACATCGCCCCTATATTCCTTTAGTGACGTAAATATTTTAACGGGTCGAACCAAGTGGTGAAGTGCCTTTTCGCCTCTCCAGCAGTTCACCGCGATAGTTCAATCCTTGATACGAGTTTCGAGAGAGTTTCGAGAGATACACTTTTCGAGTAAACGCGGTCGAGTATTTGCTCATTACGTTTCGGCCGTAATTACTCGTGCGAGCGCTGTAAATCTTCTTCATAATATTTAAGTTACTTCGTTTGGCTTTTTTTAAGAGGCGATGATAAAATTGCCATGTTTCTCGGCATCTTAAAATGTTACAATATGCACAGTATTTTGATAATACGACACCAATCAATTACATAAATTATTATATATTTGTGTAAATAAAAAATCTATGTTGTAATTTTAAAAGATTCTGTAATATAATATATATTTTATATGTTTAAATGTCAAAACTCTCTAACGTGGCTCCGTTAATTGTGAACTTAATTTGACATTTCTTGATAAGAAAATATATCCAGAGGTCTACCTAACGATAACAAGAAATAACATCTTTCCTATTTGAACCAATCGAGTATTTTTCGAACGCGTCCAAGTTTTTCTAGGTGTAATCATCAAATTTACTAATCGTAGAAAATTATCGTTGCTGCATCAGAACGCATTTTATCGAGAAGTAAATTTTTCATCTACTACCACATTACGTAAAGTAAGAAGAGAGAATTCAAGTAATTTTAATCAGAAAAGCGAAAGTCCGGAATTCAAATATTTCAAGATTTCAAGAAAATTAGCGAATTAAAGCGTCTGATAAGATTCTTTTTTATTCTTTACC